GCCAGGGTGCTTACCCTGGTGAGCCGCGTGCCAAACGTTGCCGACCCCGATCTAGAGTAATTTTGTATCACCTGCAAATTTTGCCACCTCAATGTTTACCTCTTTTTCTTGACCATTTATGAGTATGCTGAATAGGACTGGTTTCAATACGGACTCCTGGGGGACACCACTATTTACCTCTCCCTATTCTGAAAATAGACCATTTATTCCTATCCTTTGTTTCCTATCTTTTAACCAATTACTGATCCATGAGAGGATATTTTCTCTTATGACTGTTTACTTTGCTTAAGAGCCTTTGGTGAAGGACCTTGTCAAAGGCTTTCTGAAAATCTAAGTCCATATGTTTGCTGACCCCCTCAAAGACTGATAAGGCATGATTTCTCTTTACAAAAATCATGTTGACTCTTCCTCAACAAATCATGTTCACCTCTGTGTCTGATAATTCTGTTCTTTAATACACTTTCAACCAATTTGCCTTGCCGACTCACTGGTTCCAAGCCTGTGCTTGAGCCTACATAGACGTGAAGCCACGCTCACAATGGTGGAGGAACCAGGTCTCACAGCCATGCTAGTGCCTCCCTCCTGCTTGTAGCGCTACCCCACACAGACACACCTGCAGCACCTGCCTCAGAGTCTGTCTGGCTCAATTCACTCGGCTGCAGTGAATTGCAGAATTGAGACCGCAAATGAAATAACAAATGCTACAAGTTATCAGATGCCTAACGTTAAAGAATTTTGCTTGCCACAGCTTTAGCCTGTAGCACCCTCTATTGACAGGCTGCACATAATAATAAAGCGCCAAATAGCCCGTACCCAATATTTTCAAACGCGATTCACACCCGTGTACTGAAGCGAAGGGTGGCCTAGGCAACACGCAGCGAGCACAGGCACCTGAGCTCAGGAATGAAACCCCTGACGCAGCAGGCAGTTAGCAGGGGAGCAAACGCTTTGCATGGGGACCTGGGGCAGATCTGTCACTAGGCCACCGGCCCTCCCGTGCACTCGGGGAGGCTGCCAACGGCTGCCCGGGCGGGGCTGCTCCCGCTCGTTCACGCCGGGTTACCCAGTGGGTGCCAAGGTGCCGCTCACCCTCCTCAGCCCCCCCCCGGCGGCAGCACGCCGGGCAGCGGAGAGCGAGGGCCTGAGCCGGGCTACGGGTGACATGGCGGCCGGGCAGCGGCGGGGGTATCCCTGGCGCTGCGGCCGGGCGCCAATCGGCGCTGCGCCCCCGGGACGGGACTTTCTCACCTTGAACATCGCGGCGCCGCTCCCAACCGCGTCGCTGCGCGATGATGTCAGAGCCACACAGCGCACGCGCCGCTACGGAGGCCGAACGACAAAAACGGCTGGGAAAGGGGCGGGGATGGCGTGGTTTCCCCTCTCCCCCCACACACGTGTCCCGGTCTCCAGGCAACAGGGACGCGGGGGCGGGGCCTCTGAGTAGCCGGGTCATGCTGCTGAGCGGAGCCGCGCGCCGGGCGGGGACTCTCTCGTGCCCGTGAGTAACCGCGGCGCCCCCGCCCCCCCCCGGGCCTCGCGCGCTGCCCGCAGGAGGGAGGAGTTAGCGGGGCTGTGAGATCCGGTCCCCTCCATTGCCAGCCCGGGGTCCCCGCCACGCCGTGCGGACGCCCAAGCAAGGGCCTGGAAACAGCGAGTCCGCACGGCCGGGTCCCCTCCCCCCTCGGCTTACGTGCTGTGTGGACGCGCACCCCGTGTTTGTCTGTCCCCGCAGCTCGTTGCCCCGGCGGCTCCGCTCCCTTCCCCCCAAACGGCCCTGGCGGTGTCACCCACGGGTCCGCCTGTAGGGACCCAGCTGCTGTGAGCTCGGGTGCCCATATTTCCCAAAGCGAAAAGGGGGCACCCCCTACTGCTCGCCTGAGCACCTCCCCGCCCCCGCGTGGGGCTGGCATCTCCTCTCCCCCACCCCAGCATGTTCCTCCGCACCCCACTTTTTGGATAAAAGTGAGCAGTTGCCAACTGATCAAGTCGGCAGGAGCACACTGGACAAATGCCCACTTCTGCCACGCACACAAAAAAAGGTCGGGGACGGCTGGGACCGGGCTTTAGAAAAGGGACTAAACAAGCTACTGTGAGCCCAGGGGCTGGTGCTGATCTCGTGTCTCCTGCCAGGGCGGACGAAGAGCTCGCAGCTAAAATCCTCCAGCGAGCCTGGTGGAGTCACATCAACAGGAGGCTGTTCAGGCTGCTAACACACACCATCCGGGCCGCGGTATGCTCCTCCGGAAAAACCCTGCCCGTCCGCGCTGTAAACTACCCAGGGCTTTGCTACGGGGGGTAACCCTACCAGCACAACTCTACCGGTGCCTGGGATACTGCTGGGGCAGTTACACCACTCCAGCTTCCTAGGGGAAGACACTTCTTGTGGAATGACCTCAGAAAGCAGTAAAACCAAATTGAAAAAAAAAAGACCCTCAAGGAGTTACACTGGTATAACTGGTGGTATAGTAATATCTTAACAGTTATGTTGGTAAATTCTCTAACAGTGCATTAAATAACCATAAATTATCTTCTCCAGGGTAATGCAGTTAGGGTGAAAGTCACTCCTTTGCAAATAGCCAGCACAAAGTCTATGCACCCTTTAAAGCCCATTTAATCCCTCAGAAGTGTTCTGGCCCTCTTCACAGGGTGCACAACTGTTTGCTGTAAACTTCACATAGTCCCTATTGAGCTATCCAGGCATAGGATGTCAATAATTGTTGTTATTTTTAGAGTAAACATGTGCTGTCCATAAAAAGGTCTACAGTACATAAGAAATTGCTGTTTATGAAGGCTTCCAGTTTCCCAAATATGGATCTAACTGCTTACACCATTTTTTTCTCAAAGAGAAACCAGCCTGATGTATCACTGTGCCACTGTCCAATTAGAAGCACCAAATACAAATGGTGATTGCCACAGTCTCTTCTCCTTGCTTATAATTCATGGCTCCATTTTATCACATAAACACATCAGATGAATAATTACATATGCTCAGGAAGATCCCCCCAACTCTGCCAAAGGTGGAATGGGCTCCTGACTGATCCATCCCTTCTGAAGAGGAAAGTAGTATTTCCTGGAGAAGTGCCAGTACCCAGGTCCAAATTAACCAGCAGGCCCAAAAGGTTTGGCCTTAAGACCCTGAAGTCCAGTGGAGCCCTATGCTAAAGTGATGAAACCCCTCAGCTGTAGCTTTGGAGTTAGGGTAGTATCGCTCTTCTGAATCTGCTATGCAGGCAAGCAGACAGGCTAGCTCCTATCTTCTTGGACAGTTCTCCACATTCTTTGCTCTTACTGTCTGTGTGTCTTACACTGAGCAGAGCAAATATTAGAATGGATTCAGAAAAGCTGTTTTTTCCTCCTGCAATAATGTCACTCCATTGAATGGAATAAAAGGCAAGAGACATAGGGAGGTGTTCAGAGAATGGGGTGGAGGGACAGATTGATGATAGTTTAAGAGCAGACGAAAGACAGAAGGAGAAGGAAAGAAGATGAGCAACTAAACAGTTGGGGGATTTAGTAAAAGGGAGGAGCTAAAATTGTATGTGAGATGTATTTCCTAATATTTGTTCTTATTGAAAACTACCTTGGTTTTTTTGTAGTGCAAAGATGAGAAAATAAAACTCATAACATTGGAAAGGAAGGGCAAAAAGATAACTTCAGTAGAGAAAAGAGTAACATTGGGTAAAAGAATAAAATGAGTAATAAAAAAGAAACAATATTGCAATTCTATAGTAACTGTAATTTAAGAATTTCAAAGCACTTTAAAATATTAATTAACACTCAACTCCCATGTGAAACAGGTGTGGGGTGTATTATTATAGGAACCAAAACTGCTCAATTTTACTGAATAATGCCTGCATCTGTTTCAGGAGCATTGCATTACATATGAGATTATGAGGAGAGTGAGTCCTTTAGAAGCTGAACTTATAAAAGATCCTAGTATGCAGTATAAAGTCAGATTCAGGTAAAGTAGGCATATTTGTTTATTCAACCTAGCATATATGATGACTTTTTCTAAAGTTAACCAAAAGTGCCATCAATTGTTTTTATTATAGTGTCACACTAGCAATGTTAGAGTTGACAGGGCATGTTGTTTTAGGTCCCTAAGTTCAGTAATACTCAAACAAATACCTTTTGGGCTAATATTTCTCATGTATTTTTATCTCACAGGTGAGTATTTTTGGAAAGTTTGATAAAGTTTTACTTGTTCATCTTAAAGTCACTGAAGCACGAAGTGGGGAAAATGATTTTTTTGTTTGCTTTGCTTTTTTGGGATGGGGGCATTATTTTTGCAATACAGTGGAACCTCAGAGTTATGAACACCTTGGGAATAGAGGTTGTTCATAACTCTAAACAAAACATTTTGGTTGTTCCTTAAAAAGTTTGCAAGTGAACATTGACTTAACACAGCTTTGAAAATTTACTATGCAGAAGAAAAATGCTGCTTTTAATCATCTTAATTTAAATGAAACAAGCACAGAAACAGTTTCCTTACCCGATCAAATCTTTTTTTAAACTTTCCCTTTATTTTTTTAGTAGTTTACGTTTAACAAAGTACTGTACTGTATTTGTTTTTTTTTTTTTTTTTTTTTTTTTTTTTTTTTTTT